GGCCAGTGGAAAGGCTCGGGGCCTAGCCAAGCATCGGCAGCCCCTCTGCCCTGCAAGCACACTTCACCTAAGGGAGCCTGTGCCAACCTGGAGAGGGCCCGTGACGTCAGTACCCAGCCGGGACCCTATTTAAACCAGCACAGACACTGCCCGGGCCTCTCTTCTCTCTTTCTTTCTTCACCTGCTCGCCACAGACTCACTTGCTTACAGCTCTCCAGCCTGCTCACCACCTCGCTCCTGCTCCGCTGCCCACCTCCAAAGCTGAGACGGCTCCCGCCCGACAGCACGCTGCGGGCCCGTGGTGGTAACTGCTCTGGAGACTCTCTACCGACCGCTTGCTTGATTTCTGCCTTTTATTTTCACTCTGTCCTATCACTACTCTTTTCTAACATTTTTCTCTTTTTGTAATAAAAACTCTATTGGGTATACGTCATTTGACCTCGCTTGTGTCTTAATCTCGCCTCCTGGGATCATATCGAAACCTCCCCTGACATCGGATCGGGACACCCTCCTGGCAGCAGTTGCAGCTGGTAACACTGGGCTGTACCTTGCTCTGCACCACTTCATCCCGTGGCACTGACTGAGCTCGCCTTTCCTCCTTCAGTCGCTCTCTCTTCTTCCTCAGGCTTCTCCCACGGTTGAAGCGCGAGACCTGAAGGCAGACCACACTGTTACTCAGTGATGTCATGCTCTTCCCTACCACAGAAGCCAAGTAATAGAGCAGAACTGTTTTACCTCTGTCTAAATGGTGATGGATAAAGGAGAGTGCACAGCCAGATGGATGTTGGTGGGACAGCGCTGTGGGTGTTTACAGCCAGAAAAACACACCAGCACCAAGTTAGGTCTATCAGAGCACTGTGCTGTCCCCTGGAGGGGTGAACGCCTCCTCCTGTGTCCTCAGGCCAGCCCTTACCACACAGAGATGACAAGGAAGAGCTGGGCAGGGATCGCTCCTGGTATCATACCAGCAACCAAAGAGCTCTCTCACATGTCTTCTGGCCTGAAGAATGTTGTAGCATTTCACACACAGCAGCCAAGTATAAATAGTATATTGTGTCCCTATCTCACAGCATCTTCCACTGCAAGCAACCACCTTGAGGATGGGATGTGTCTGAGGCAGGCAGCAAAGTGACACAACACAGGAGCTTTAGGGTACAGGGCAGCTTTCTAACCCCTAGGCCATTGCAGGGAACAAGTGCCTCTGGCTGCTCTATCCTCTGCCTATCAGGGCAGTGGAACCTCTGACAGTGCTTAATACTGAGGCTTAATCTGAACACCTTGCTGGGCTTTGGGGCTGAAATAGATCTGAGGCCAGCACACAATGTCAGCAGAAATGTAGGCACCTCTCCAAGCAGAAGATTAAGGATGAGGGGGAGTGGCCTATCAAGGTTTACTGGCCTCAGCTCCATGTCTGTGTGTGTGTTGGGAAGAGATTTACAACGTACCTGTGATGCTTTAGTGAGGAGAAGTGCAACCTCAGGGTTATTGTGCTGTCTGGCAACCTCTAGAGGGGTCTGACCTGCCTGAGAGGGAAAAGAAAATGGTATTTCCTTCAAAACACAAATGTGGAAATGTGGAATTTCTCCACCCAAGGTTAGTAACATGCTCTGTGCACAAGAGTAAAGTGACTAACTGCTTTCATTTACCCAGATTGAATTCAACTCTAACATCCAAGTATTTTCTACTGGGATGCTGCTCTAAGGGAGTCTGCATTAATCCGAGACACCAAAGAAACTCCATGTCCTGCTTACATTGTTGACAACAGATGTATCAGCTCCTGCCTCCAGCAAGAGCTTAACCACCTTCCTGTGATTCAGAGCAGCAGCCACATGGAGCGCAGTATCCCCTGCCTGCAAGTTAGAGAGCAGAAAACAACCGTGTTACACCAATCTTTGGGTCTCATCACACCTTCCTAAAAGAAGCTCACAGGTCAAAAGACCTACACTTACTGAAGCAACAACTAAGCTTAAACAAGGCCTGGTCAATAAAAAAAGCAGAGATGGAAGGAAGGGAACTGGAGGGGAAAAGGAACTACTTCAGGGCAAGGACCTACTTCAGCCTGGTTTTGAGAAATGCTGCTGGAGCTCTGGTAATCTGGTTTAACTAAACCAAGTGACACACAAGGCAGGTTGGAGACAGACCAGCTCTGCTGCCAGCAAACAGATACAACACCTGAAGGCAGAACCCGTTTTCCCACCACAACCTTCTCTTTCTGTTTTTTTTTTTCATTTCAGGTTTCATTATTTGGTGTGCAGGTGGTCATGTATCACATCACTCAAAAACAATCAGAGAAGTACCAGCAGCTAGATGGTTAGTGTTCTCCTCTTGAGATTCCTCAAGAAAAAGAGTTTTTGGATCAAAACCAGGAGGCGATTCAGGTCCAGCAGTACCACACTGCCCTGCCCTTGTCCCAGTGCAGCGAGGTGAAGACATCTGTGATCAGATACAGGCACTGGAAACACAGCCAGCAGCTGTTCAAGGGAGGCAGGACACGTGTATATAATGCCCTCCTGTCCCCTTTGCCTTGCATTTTGCCTCCAGAAAACTACATCTCCTTGAGACTATCGCTTGCTTCTTGCTAACTTGGATGAGGCATATTCATATATAAAATCACTATATGTGCAAATATGGAACAACTTTGGGTAGTGCTGGGAAAAGAAGGAAAGGAGTGTCTTCCTGGGCCACGTTCACACCAGTTAATCTTAATATTCAGTAAGTCATTTTGCAAGTTAAAAATCTTATTTCCAAATAAAATTAGAGAGTAAATTTAGTACATTGAAACCCATTTTGTTTGCTGTAATATCTCATATCTAAGAAATGAGATTAAACGTACATCTCAGAAAACATCTTTATGATCCTCATCTACACATGGAAAATTTCCCAGGAATGTGGTTAAGCACCACATAATCTGTTTGTTTAGCAGATTTAACACATTTTAATGTACTAAATCCATCCCCTTCTATCACCCAATCAGGCTATGCTGTAAGTACAGCAATCAATTACTTCTCTATAAAAGAACTACAGATGATTAATCTTAGGTTAGACTGATCATTACTCTGAATTTAAAGCATACTTTTTCTTCACTTTCATGCCCTTTTAATTCCCCCTACTGCAAAATGCAGCAAAAAAGGGTATTCCAGAAGAATCTGCATTTTTGTAGCATCTGAACGTTAGTGAGTTCTGCTTCACAACGTCTCTGTAATGGTGAAAGGATTGTTAAATCCTCATTATGAAGGACAAGAATGGGTCCTCATAAATTGACTGAGTCCCTTGTCCAGTCCCATTCTGCATAGAACTGATAAGGACCCAGGAGCACCAACTCCTAACCCTGTGCTACTTCCCCTGTTCCAACCCCGCCTTTCTACACCAACATAGGATGGCAGAACCTCATAAACAGACAATGCTTTAAAGAAATGATGCAAATGTGATGGCAAAATAATAAACCACTGATATGCCGTTACTTTAAGGTTACTTTTAAAAGCTCAGGTGTTTGGAGGTACAGTGAAACACAGAGTGAAGCTGGGTTCCTGGGGTAGGAATCCCTCTTCCCAACAACCAGCAAAGGGCACGGAGTTGCTATGAGGTTCATGCACTGACCTGGTTCTTTTCATGGACAGAACAGAAAGCACTGAGCAGCACCCTAACGATGGGCAAGTGATTATAACGAGCAGCCACATGCAGACAGGTATCTCCTGCCTGCAAACAGAAACAAAGCTCTGAGCATGTAATCACAGGAAGAAAGCTTGCACTTGTCATGGTAGTCAGAGATGAAATAATCCTATTAAACCAAAAAGAGCAGTAAGAGCCACACACGTCCACCGCACAGTAATGCTGGCTTCTCTGCAGTACAAAATCTGCTACCATGGAGGGGGGGGGAAGGTTTACCAAGAGCTAGGGTCAGGCAAGGTGGGAGTACGAGTTCTTTAACCACTGATGGGAAATGCTGGAATTATAAAATACCGCTCTACTGCACTATAAAACCTGACCTACATTTTTTACATTAAATCTGTTCTCCTGAATTACAAACTAACGTGATTTGGAAACTCAACTTAGTGTTGCACGTAATGAAGAAAACATGAGGAGCGTGGGCCAGAGCAGCGTCCCCATGAGGGGTGACACATGGGGAGCTGGGAGCAGAGTCCCACAGGCTTCCATTTCTGTGTGCCTCTGTCCACCTTGTTATCAAGGAGGAACAAAAGCATCTGGTTTCATTTTTTTTTTCCTTTGTCATGCCAGAATCATTATACAATAGGAGGAAAGATGTCTGAAAACGAAGTCACCTTGAATCTACCTCATTTGACACACTGCCACACAACATGTGTTGTGTGTCTCAGTGAGGGCACATCTGAAGACATTCACCACTCTGGCGTAAAATCACTTTAAGATTTCCATCTTACTGAGAGAGGAGCCCTTTTGCAGAACTGCAGGACAGCGTATGGGTCAAGGCCATCAGGACCTCAAAAAGCAGCAAAGGACCAACTTCCTTGGTCTGTGCAACAGCAAAACCCCCTCTGGCTCCTCCACTCCTGCTCAAGAGATGGGTACTAGCAGTACATCTCTCAGTCCTATCAAAAGCAGTCCTGTACATGATGCATACAATGAATTATTAATGTTTTCTTCCAATACCATTTATAATAAAAATTACAACTTAATGCGTTTCTGAGCATTGTTACAAGTTAAAGCAATATAGCTAAAACAAAAGCACACCAAACTGAACACATTCCTTTCAAAACTCACATTATTTTTGAGGTCTGCTCGAGATCCTCCAAGTAACAAAACACGAGTGCTCTGGGAATGGCTATTCTGGCAAGCCAGGTGAAGAGGTGTGTTACCTGCCTTAGAGAAATACAGGGAAATATAAAAGCCATATTTAGAAATTGGACATAAGCATTAAAAAAATGCCAAACCTCACAGGTCTTCCCACAAGATCCACCCAAGGGTTGAATACTATCACTATTATTTGCCCTAAGATATGAGCTGAATGACACTAGAGATTGAAATACACCTCCACCCTGGAAACGATTTATCTGGGATATAGTAAAGGCAGAAATTGCACAGTCTAGCAGTATCTGCATTGGTCAAGTCTGTTTGCAGGAAACAGTTTAGAAACTGTCTGGTTCATTAATATCAAACAACACTATCAAGTACTTCAACATTTGGCTTTTGTTGTCCTGAAAATGTTTGGGGGTTTTGGCTCTTGGGAGCTAGAAATTAGACTAGCTCAGGCAGAAAGGTTTCCATGTCTGTTCACCTTGATTACAGCCTTTAATCTGTCACCTTTAATCTGACACAGGTCAAAGCTGCAGGGTTTGAATTACAAATGGACAACTCTTAGATGTGGCCTTAGATCTTCAGTTCCACATTATGAACTATTTCAGGCCTGAATGTAGTCTCTAAGCTGTGGCAGACATGAACATTTTTATTTCTCGGCTACACTTCATTTAAGTGTAATTTTTCTCCCTCCCTGGGTCTATCTCTGAAAAGCCTCTGCAACGCCTTCATAATTTGCAGTTTGGAAGGTCAGCCCTGGTGGGAAGGCAGAAAGGTTCTGTGCAGTAGGTGATGGGCAAGGACCTCAGCGCTGGGGGAAGTCATGGTGCTGGTGCCTATGGTCAGGGCTCACAGAGCAGGTGTCTCCCACATAGGGTGTCAAATCTCTCAACAGCTTCTGCAAGAGGGAGAGTGGCCCTGAGTTTTACTGACCTGGAGAGTCTTAATTGGTCTACTGAATATTCACTGAAACGTACAAACTGACAGAGGATCTAAAAAGAATGCCACAATGGATCTCATGGGATGATCTATCACAGCAGAAGAGTTTTTATTAAGCCAACTTGACAGAAAATATACTGCATCTCCAGGGTGATTGCTGCACAGGAGGAATACGGCTACATGAGTGGTTCACCCATGTGTTCTCCCATCCCTCAAATGCTTGCCGGACTTGCCTTTAAAATCCCACGTGTCCTGTCTGGCCTCTGCATTTCATTTAACACAAAAATCATCTTCAAATGCATCGCTCCTTTATACACTGTGCTCAGGGTGCTGTGCTGCGAGAAGCACATCTGTGCAAGGGTTCCCCAAGCAGTCCCACAAGATAGTAACCAGGAGTTACAAAAAAAATAAAAGGTCAGTTCCCTCCTGTCTTCTGCTGCTTAGCAGAGTTTGGCAAATCTAGCAGCCCACATCTGGCCCATCCAGCCAAAATCACACAGTGGCCAGGTGTATACAGTCAACAGCCTGTAGGGTGCTTCTGCACATAGCACTCAGCCCTGGCAGCTAGAAAAGCTGTCAGAAAGATTATGCCTGGTTGTCAGTAACAAAAAGCTGAGAGACCAGAGAAACCATTTTGGGATTAAGGAGAGCTAAGCACTTCATTCTTGTTGAAAGCAAAAGGGGTAAAAGCATGTGCATGTGTGCAAGCGTGCACAATTTCCACATTTTTCAGCGGCTCCTGAGGAAAGATCCTGTCCATTTAAAAACACCCAAGGAGTGAAACGCAAAGGGAGAGGACTGTGTGGGTAAGACATCAAAGGCCCGCGCAGGAGCTGCCTGCGCAGTTATTAAAGTCTGCCACTCATATTCCAGATCAACCCTGCTGAGCTATTCCATGCACATGCCTTCCAAGAGAGGTTGTCTCCAGTTGACATACACTGTATTGTGAGTTAATCTTCTAATACTCTGAGGCATCCAAGCATGCAGGATACCCAGACCTGGATCTTAAGCCGACCTCTTTGTAGAGAAGTATACGTGTACACAGAGACAAGCGTGCCCAGGGACTGGAGCATAGCGCTTGCCAAGGCTGTCATGTCAAGCATGGGAAGTTGTCTTAAGTACCTTTCATACAAATCTAGGTGAACATTACAGCAAAAGTAATTACAGAAAATAGAAATTGGATGTTGAAACCATATAAAAGAAGGAATACACATAAAACAATACCAAAGATGATATAATTACAGCCACAAAATGACCACAACTGTACAAACATACGCATGTACGCTGTATGCATACATACGCACATAAACACGATGCCTGGCAACGTGCCTTTTTACTCAAAATCTTAGACTTTGGCCAGCTGTCATCTTTCTTCCCTTTCTTCACTAGTCCCTTTTAGCTGTTGTTTTAGAGACACGTTTATCAAAAAAATGCCGAGAGATGCCGATAAGCCATCACAAAGGCCTCTCGCCCAGCACGAAGGACACATTGCCAAGCGTGCGCCCTGCGCAACCCACTGGCACAGCAGCCCACACCCTGACTCGGCTCACACCACAAGCTGCTGCTGCTGCCATTTCCTACACTACTCCAGTTACTTTGGAATTAATGAGTTGAAGACAAGTGTCCCACAGGTATTACCATTAGAGTGGAACTAAAACCCCTTGCTTTGTTATTCTTCCATCTAAACAGTTCTCAAGGTATTATATATAAATACCAAAAGGAACATAATCCAGGTTCATTACAAGGCTTTGGTAAAAGCCTATGCTATTATACTAGGAATAACTTTCTAAAAAATCTATACACTATTTTTGTCCCTCTGTGGCTTACACTCCTTTGGCTGTTTGATTTCTGGAAAAAAAAAAAAAAAAGATTTTGAATGCCATTTTTGCATTAGTACAATTCATTTTCACTTTAAATCACACCAACCACAATGAATCCACTTGGCATAAAATAGAGCACCATGGAGATTTCCACAGGAATTGCAGTGTGCCTCAGCTGTAATTAATGTATCATTCAATGCTCTATTGAGTTCCTCCTGCATCAGCTGTCAAAATATGAATTTCCTAATGCCTGTGGAGGAACCATCCAGGCGTAATAAATGAAATAAAAAGCAGCAAAAAATCCCACCAGGAGCAGGTCCCCCCCTGCTGAGAAATCCCATGGCCAGAAATCTCCAGCGTTGAGAATCAGCCACCTTACACCAGAACTGAAAGCTCCTCCCGAAGGGGTCTCACCTTGTTCTTGGCAAGAACGTTGGCTCCTGCTTTAACAAGCACTTTGGCAGACTGACTGAATCCATGCCAACAAGCTTCATGAAGAGCAGTGTTGCCATCCTGAAGAGCACACAAAGGAGGAGAAGGTTAGTGTGTGGTGTCCACATGCAGAGCACCGTTGCATTTAGAACTCAGCAGCTGCACGCCCCACCTGCTCACTTTAAAATATAGAACGTTTTCCTGTCCTACCAGCTTATTTTCTGTTTTATTTTCAGAAAAGGGTACCAACATTGTTATTTCTTTTGTTTGGAACTTGGGATTAGTTATATTTACTCTCAAACAAAGTTTACAGCCTGGGATTCACAGTTTCTGGAATAACCAAGGCAGACTGCAGTGTTTTGCTTAGAGCATAGTATAGTTGTACATTTCTTTAATTCCTCCCTTAATAAGCTGAGAACAGACTCTTAAATCAAAAACTATCAGCCTGATATAAAAAAACCCCAAACACCTAAATCAATAATATACATCAAAGGGATGGTAGAGCTTTTTTTTTTTCCTTTCAATTTAACTATTCCAATTACTTTCAAAGCATCAGATACTTAGTTCAGAGTATAAACCATAACTTTCTGAGACCTTAATACTACTGGCTGGCAAGGCTGCCATCCCACAGGGCCTAGCTTTTGACTGTTACCTTGTCTTGTCTGTCCAAAGCACACCCCTCTTGAATCAGAGTCGCTATGACATCGGTGTTCCCTACGACAGCAGCCCGGTGCAATGCTGTCTGATCACCCTGCAAAATGAAGGAAATTTGTCATCAGTTCCATTCCCACCTCACTTTGACTCAATGTAAACGCACACAACACACACAGGGGTTGTTCCAAGCTGCCTTTGAAAACAGATCCCATAAACAACTAGCATTAAAGTTTCCAAGATTAATGAAGCTATTGGAAGTATCAGAGAGCTACAAACCATTTACATAAGTTTGCAAGTCATCACAATTCCATGTACAGTGCTGAAGCGTTCTGAAAATACAGCAGTATCAGAAAGAAGGCAGTGACTCTAACACCTTTGGCATTACATGTCTAATAATCAACAGTATCTGTAGGGAACCACAGGGAGTTACAGGCTGTCGTAATGCATCATAATGATCCTCCAGTACTGGCACTAACTGGATGAGGCTCTCTTGTTTTGGCTCCGATTTCTCCATCAGCCCTGCTTAGGATAAGGAGCGTGAGATGAGGTCAGTCTCTTCAGCACCTCTGATGAATTTACCAATTAGTGCTAAGAGTGGAGGCAATTTTAGGATGAGGACCACAACTGCAAGATCATCAACTTATTTCAATCAAGGAACTGAGTGACCTTAAGGTCCAAATGACCTTCATTTCTCATTGACCTGCCATGTAACAGCAACAAGCAAGTTTCTTACATCAGTTTCTTTTATGGTCAAGTTTCCAAAAGAAATTATGCTGATGCAGTCATCTCATCTGATTGCCCATCTATCTCCCCTCTAACAACTGCTGAACTCATTTGCTGAGCAAGATTGATTCTCTATAAGCCTTCCAGAAACTGAAGGCTAGGGAGACACAAACTACTGGCCCTGCCCACTGCGGGTTATCTATATATTTTTATGTGCATATTGGTGAGATCATGACAAAAGAAGGGGAAGAGGAGGATGTGTGCAGCAGCATGTAGGGAAGTAAGACCCCGATCGATGGGAAAATGAGCTGCAGTAGCTCCACTGCTGCCACAACCACCAGCCTTGGCTTTCCTTTGAAGTTGCTCTGAACCTGCAATGCTGAAGCACAGCCTGAGTCCAGGCACAAAGACTAGTCTCAAAGCTGCACGCAGCTTTTGGGGGGGATGATTAAACGGAGAGGGAATGCAATCCACTTCTGCGTATCTAGCTAACAGTCACCAAAACCACACATGGGGCAGAGATAGGCAGTGTGTACTGAGGAGAAAACACTTGCAGGAAGCTAGTCCTAAATAGATACAAAATATCTTTTAAAAGATTTTTTTTGAACAAAGATAGTACTGGTTACAGAAACTGGGACTTTCAGAAAAACACGAAGTATTGGAAAACTGACAGCACTGCAATTTCTCTGAAGTTCTATATTTGTCTCAAATTTAAAGGTAAACAAAAAGGAAAATGTTGAAATTATACCATCTCACAAAGGCAAATGTCTGATAGTTTCCAATAACTATTACTCCACAGCAACCTGTCCACTACAAGACTGGGAAGAACTTAGCACCTTTTTTTGATAAGACATGGTACTGATGAATGGCACAGCTACTGCAGCAATGGGTAATATGAAAAACACTCTAGCCCCCAAAACGGAAGCCTGGGTAGGTGAAGGGATGCAAGTCCTGTAGGTGGTAGGTTCAGGTGCCTCCTGCCCAAGGTGTGGGCTTTGGTGCTGACATCTTCTCTACACAAGCATGGAGAGACCCAAGTTTCTACAAGTAAGGTCCAACTAGCATCCTAACCAGCTAAATAAATACCTCATCCATGTAACAGGGATTGCAAAGGATATCTCAAACCCTGCCTCACCTGGACTGAGGCACCTCCCAGTGAAGAAGTGGCAGGTATTAATGCCCTGGTGAAGGCTGCTATCACCCCCAAGCCCCTCAGCCAGCAGGGCAGGAGCTGGTCAGCCATCCCCTCTGACCAACACGCACATTAACCTGAAACTGCTTAAGGTGCTGTGGGAGCTGAGCCACCAGACTGCAATGGTCTCTGCGTGCGAGTCACTGAGCACCCAGCCACAGATGGCACAGCCCACCCATGAATAATGCTGCCTGCCCCACAGTGTTTATACCCTGTCTTGCCTCCCCATCAGCAGAGGAGCAAACCCCTACCTTGCCTCTGCCAGAGTCAGACAAAACAGACGAGCTGTATTTCTTTCACAGCCTGTATTTTCAGACAGTGTAATCACCAACCCATGTATCTTTTTGTTAATTGCTAAAGTAACTGTCTCTGAAAGCACTCAGCAGAGTTCTGCCTTTAGCAAGGCTTTAGGGGGCTGTTCCAGAAGCTCGGAGAGCAATTACACCAGTAAATGCATATTAACTGCCCTGACTATTATGTTGGGCACAATTTATGATCCTATTTGTAAGTGATTTATACCTTAGGAGCAGACCGCAGAGCAGTAGCAATGAAGAGAGATAACTCCAGTGCTGTGTCACGCAGATGTGACCTTGACAGAAACAATTGAGTCTGCCTAAATGCAGATGTGGTTCTGAAGCCAAAAAGACACTTAGGTGCTTAAGTGAGGCTTGGTAGAAGAAATAGGGCACTTAAGCCTATGCTGGTGTATCTTAAATCACCTTCCTCAGATGCTGCCTAGCCCTGAAAGCAACTCAAACTCAGGTGTTTCCTCCACTCCAACAGCCTGGATATCTCACCTTGCACACAGCCATAGGGCACCACAGTCATGGTGGGACCAAGTAGGTTGCTGTGTGGCACCCACCCCACCCTGCCACAGTCCCTACACAGCCATCTCCCCGCCTCTCTCTTGCCTGGTGAGCACCCTCATCACCTGCTTGCTGGAAGAAGCTACACACAAGTTGCAGGCACACCCACCACCCTTTGAAATGAGGCCAGCAAAGGAGGTGGCCGCTGACTCTTCTGCAGCAGCCCAGAGGTTACTGTACTCGCCCAGTTTGTCTTGCCATGAGAGCTCTGCTGTGTTTGAAGTGCTCCACTTTTAAGAACAATCTTGGTATTCACTGGGCTAGGCAGAGTGAGACACTGGGAGACTGGGATAGGAGCCTGCATCCCCCGTGCAGAGGACACAGGACCACACACCCCAAGAGCTCTCCCTGTAACAGAAACATTGCACAGCAAGGCCCAGCACCAGCGGGTACCCTTCCAAAGGGTGAAACCATGCTCTTCACAGGGAGCTGAAACATCTGCTTTCAGCAGAAGGTTACAGGCTGGGAGTCCTGAAGGAAGGCAGATACTAAAATCTTGACCTTCTCCATGGGTTTTAGCATTATCCTTTCCTTTAGAGCATTTCTGTTGGCTAGGCTGGTGGCACTTGCTCAGTGTCTCGGCGTTTGCAATTACCTCCCTGAGCATCCTTATTTGCTGACTAACTTAAAGCAATGGATGCAACCACTAGGACCAGGCACCTAGGAGCCAGATAGGCATCTGTTTTACATCTAAGTTCACCGCAAGGGAAAGGAAACAACACAAGCAAGTTACAAAAGGGTTTCAGGTAGGTATCAGTACTTCTGCCAGCTCTACTGTGTTATGGGAGTCTCTGATATAGACTCTATTGTCCAAATTTAACGGGATTTGGTTAATACTAGTTTGTAATACATGCTACTTTTTTCCTTTCTCTGATGTTAAAAAATACTATAACCACTGTATTTTGTTTTCCTGCACACTCACACTCTCTAGATTGTCCATTAGCTGTACGATCTCCTTTAAAGCCCCTCTCCAGTGTCACACTTTGTTCTTCCATGTTTGCAGAAATCACCAAGATTTTCTACAAAATCCTCACTACAGGAAGAATTTTTGCTACAGGAGAATTGCACCAAAATAACCACCAAAAACTCATGCCTTCAATCCTTGATATAAAGTGTTGGACGGCCCTTGCAAAGTCTTATACTATGAAATGAAACCACTAAATTCAGAATAGAAATTCATTTTAAAGTTGAAATATAACCGTGAGTGCTAAATACTCGCAGGAACATACAAGCATACGTGGGTATCCTGAAGCAGCCTGTACTCAAAGGCAACTGAATGTGCCCTGATATTTCTCAGTATTACTGTGCTGCTCTCCTCCTCCCTTGCTAAAGAAAAGCAGTCACCATGACACACAATAAGAACAGCTTCACTCTGCACAAGAAATGACGATGCATAACCAGCAGAAGTGATCAAGGCATGAAAAAATAATCATGAACAAAACAATTTACATCTTAAATGAGACTGACATAGGAGTACAGGCATAAGCCACTTTGCATATTTACATCCCACTAGAAATTATTAGGGACCCTGGGTTACTGTTCCATTTCAAATTAATTTTCTGCTTCTTAAACTGAAGCTTCCAGAAAGGAATTTTTGGAGGCTTGGGGTTTTGTTTTAAACCAACTTGTTTTCCCAGCTAAGATTTTCAGAGAGCACATACAGGGCAGGAGACTTGATGCAGAGCACACAGCACAAAGCCCGCCATGCAGTCATGCACCACAGAAGAGCTCAGTCATGCCAGACCACCAGGCCAAGGCTTTGCAGCATGCAGACGTGGGAGACATCAAGCTCAAGGCAGGGTTGATGCACAAGATTTCTAACCTCCTTCTCTCTTTCTGATCTTCTAGGTTCCTTCCTAGCCTTTCTCTTCTGGTTTCTCTTATCTTTTTCGTCCTTGATTTCCTTCACCGGGGCAACCTTCTCCTTGACTATTTCTGAGGTGTGTGCTGTGTGGATACTCATTGACCATTCAGAGATGGCATTGGGATCCCAGTAAGAGCTTTCAGTATTGGCAGGGAGGAGGAAGGAGTTAGCTCCCGGGGTGGCGTACTCTACAGAGCTGGACTCCACCGGCTGAAATTCATAATAATCCCACTCCAGGCCACTGGAGGTCATTCTTCAACTAATTCTTACAGCTCTTACTGTGTTTTAAAGAATGTATCTGTAGAACATGAAGTGAGTGTTTTAATCTCTCCACAACATTTAGCAACTTTTAAGTTTCTGTTTATCATGTGGCAGATGAAAGTTAGTCTTGCATTCGTTCATTAGCTAGAGAGTCAACTCCAAAAAAACTAGGTTTCTCTAGTAATTATTTGCAGAAAAATAAAATACAGGTAATCTTTTTACAACCTGGAGATTTTTTTGTGTTATAACAACAGTGCCACAGTCAACAATCAACTACATAATTTACTTTTCAATTAAGTATGATACTCCCCACTCCCAGGAATGATTCCGGCTCTGAACCTAAATCTGTACTCCTGAAAAACAGCAATGAAATGTATAAATGTTAATCAACAGTGGAAACTAAGGTGCCTTCATTGCCAAACAAGCACGTAGTAAGAAATGACTGAAGGCAAAATCAATAGATTGCAAGTAAAAGAGAATATGCACATATTCTGTGGTGCATAAATAAAGTATAAAAATGAATTATAGAAGGAGAAATCATAAATGGAGAACCTTCTTTGAAGATCTATGTAAAAGGAAAGAAATATTTTAGTTTATACCTTTCACGAGTAAAAATCTTCATTTGGAGTTTAGCCTTCCTCCTTCTCGGAGACAAATCCTAACACACCTTCTGAGACTCAGCAGCTCCTGAGGCTCTTCTCAATCCTAACCAAATTACTAGTACTAAATAGAGAGCTAAAGCAACATTTTAAAGAAACAGTATCTGTGAATCAAGCATGCATCTATTCTGTTCAGATTAGTCACCACATTTAGAAGCTGTATCCAGTTGTCATGAACAAAGCCCCCAAGAAGCTTGCAGGGCAAGTGAAATAGCTCTTCTGTGAGCTGAATGTTTCTACAGTGCAAGACTTTGCCAAACTGCAATAATGCTAAACACTAATTTACTGTTTTTCCATTATGGCTATCATGTTTACATACGAACAGCCTAGATTTTATTCCTAGAGGATTAAAAAGACCCAACAGACTTACTCAAAAAACAGTTTCCACAGAAACCAAATTTGATCAAATGAGTGGAAGCTCTTGCATTCTTAGAGCAGCAACTTGCTTTTCTCAGGAAAACTGACTGTACTTGTAAAGTACCTGCAATTTTGTCTTAAATATCTGATGAATCATTTTTGCTGGGAGAAGTCAAAAATCTTACTCAGGATACATCTGAATAAACTGATACTCCCATTAAACTTGCAAATCTGCTCTATTTCACAGATAGGCACAGAGAAAGAATAAAGGGCACAGGAAGCAAAGTTTCTTCCTAGAAAAACAAGTTTCCCAGTAGAAAGCTGGCTGCACCAGTACCCCAGTCCCAAGCTTTTCACACAGACTGCTCATGTCTCACAGGGAAGCAGCTATTCATGAAGAGAAGGAAACCAGTTTTCCAATTTCTACAGATATTTAAGGCTCTCTAGAGGCAAACAAATGCCTAAGGGGATTTTCAAAAGTCACCTAGACATTTCCAGTGTCCTTTTAATAATCATACAGGTGCATCTACTAGCACCTTCAGAGCCCTTCCTCAGACTTGTTCCAGCGTGTTATCAGAAGCTAGCAACAAATCTAAAGAAACTATGGTTATTCAACTGCTGTTGCACTGGTCATCCTACACCTTTGTTCATCAGAGTGAGGTAACTCAAACCACATTACTCGTCACTCCAATGTGCCTTAAAGCCTGGTCCAAGATTAGAACCATTCTCATGGGAAACTGAGAAATTTCAATAACTGACATATTTTACCAAATGAAAACAAACTACCACTTGCTAATATCAAAGCTGGTTTTGTTGTGCTGATGCCCCACCAGACCACAGCCTCACAGGTGTGACCACCCCCACATGGAGCGTGGCTGCCAACAGGATGATTTCCCCACGATGCTGCACAGCGCTCCGGGCAGCTGCTCAAAACTTTATATGCTGAGGCACTTGTCTACACAGAAAGCATCTCCCCCTTCAGACAAACACCACCATGCCTTGTGTCCCCTACCTGATGTCCTTCAGTGGGTTCCCAGAGAGTACAAACTGCTATTTCATTTCTAGACCAAGCAACTGACAACGCTCTCACTGCTATTCCTACACAACTGGCACAACCAGAGCTCCTGTAAAGCTCTGCAATTTGAGCAAGAGGACCAAGCTATTCACTGAAAACCACCACATTTTACATTGTCTCCCATGCAGTTTTGCATCTCCAAATTAGAGGTTGCATCTCCAAATTAGAAAATAGACAAATTTTGTTTTCATTTAATGCTACTTCAAAGAAGTGAAAGTCTACTGTTATTTGCAAATAACCTCCTCCCCTTCACCCCAAGCAAGAAGGCTGTGTCTACTTACATCATCTTGAATATCCAGGTCACAACCTGCCTTCAACAAAACCTGGACAACGTGGAGATGACCCTTGTGGGCAGCAAGATGCAGAGGGGTCCGGCCATGCTATGAATTAGAAGAAAACAATAATACCTTGAGATTATTTTTAATGCACGGTAGTAGACCAGAATTTTATCTGCTTTTCCTCATTCTTCTATTCATGGCTCACTCTCTGAAACCTGCAATAGCTGGTACACTGACATACCTCAGTGTACCAACAGCTTTACCTTAGTTTTGTGTATTATGCTGAAAACACCTCCTTCCCCTTCTGCAACATTTCAATTTATCCCAATGATACTCTGCAAAAGGCATCTTTTATTCATGTGAGGATAACTTCCTTACAAATTTGGATCCGGCTTTGTGTCCAGGCCTAAAGAGAACTCATGACCCTTTTGTTTCTGTCCCTCTGGAGTGCAGAATTGTCAACTGCTTTCAACTTTGTTCTGCACAACAAAGTTGCAATACCAGGCTAAGTCATAGCCTGAAATGGGCACCATCTTTGCAATAGAAATAAGAATTACTGGACTATTGTTTATGATGGATGCTCCCCTTAAAAAGGACTGGAAGAGCTGTAGTCACTCCAAGTGACTTCACATGTACAACAACCAGCCTCATTTTGACAAAGACCTGTCAGGTTTTTTTTTAAACAATGCTTACTTTTAACATTACCAAGCGCTAGCCCACATGAAAGTAAGCGTATAAAACGGTAATGAAAAATTCAATCTAGGATGGTTCCGTAATAAACAGGACAGAAAAGCTTTAACTAGTGAGATGGATACATGATGTACAGTTTCGTGAGAAAAAAAATAATTAAAATTTGACCATAAAATCAATTTAAAAAAAGAAAAGAATCTCCCCAACAAATGGGTTCAGAAAAACTAAGTGAAATGACAAGAGGAAAACTAATAAACAATAGCTACTTGTAAGTGAATCCCACTTGATCTTCTTTAGACAGAATTTAAAATAAAACATTTCAGGAAAAGTGGACAGGCTGCTTCTCCTAAAAGAGGCATAAGAATCAATCTGAGAAGAGACTCAAAGAGGAAAGAGACTGTAAGAGGAAGCTGGGACAACACAGGAGAGCTATAAGTGATTCCCTAAATATTTAGCCCATACAACCTGAAAAAGAAAACTCAAGGGAGAATCAGGAATTAATGCTTGCTCTAGGAATTGTGTGTGTATAAATATATATACAAATAGATATAAAATCACCACAGATCAACATGAGAAGTGAGTGAAACACCTTAAGAACTGTTAAACAGCAACACTAAAACTGTTGCAAATTTTATTTCATTACTATTAATAGGATTCCAGCCATTGCTAAAATCACAGAGTATCTTCACGAATAATGCTCTTTTACTCCACTTGGCATTTTATGAAACAAAGAAGAGCTACACTACTCTTCATCTGCATCTATTAAGTGTCTATTTCTTCACTGTCACTGCCATTGTCTATTTTCCCACCCAACGATCTACCCTGTAAAGGGAGATAATGCATCACCTACATAAGGATCAAAGACCTCAAGAGCTGTCTGACTCCTGTGGCCTGAAGTAAGCAGAAGACAACCATCAGCTCTCTGAAGTTTTAAGCAGCTTCTCCAGCAGGAAAGCTACTTCAAGTAAATAAAAACCAAGCTCAAGACAGGATTGTTTTCACACAGCAAATCCCATACTCCTATATCTGGCAAAAAGGAACACCAATGTTGAAATCCACAGAACAGTGAGGGAAAAATGTTCATGCCATTAGTAGCTAGTTGTGCCATGCTTCGAAAATATTAAACATTGATTAACTGTCCTACATTATGGATCTGAAGGGCCAGACCTAACAGAAAAGTCCTCACCCACTCTGACACGTGGGTATTTCAAACGTTGTCTCCCATTAGTGGCAGCAGCTTGTCCCAAGGGGGAAACATCCATTCCCAGCACACTGGAGGTGTGGGAAGGGCTCACTTTCGGCTGTCACCACCACTCCTGGGAGCCATCCAGCCCCTGGCTGGGCACCTCTTGCTCCACCTGCCCACAGGCCCCTCAACGCCTGCCCCTATGGTGAAGGGCACTGAGCTGTACCGAACACACTTCCTTCTCCATCAGCCTGGAGGAGAGCCACGGTTATATCACTGTTCCAGGTAACTCAATAGTAGGAGGCTTAAAAGATACAGGGGAGGGAGGGAAGAGAAAAAAAAAAAAAAAAATGGCAAGATGAAGCCAAATTGAGAAATCATTCCCAGCTTTGAACAATATGTTTGGATTGCATATATGTGCTCCAGCACGTCAGGTTTATGGGTTCTGACTTTCTACATTACTTAATGACAATAAGTAAATCACCTAATCCGGACATCTCACTTCCCAGCAGGTTACTAATATATCATGAAAACAATTTATTGCAATTTGTGCATGGAGCAGAAAAATCCCAAACAAACTCAAGATGAAGCCAGCTCATGTACTTTAAAAGGAAAACAGCATCAACTACTTGAACGTATGCCAGCAGGGAAACTCTCTGATAAGATCACCATCTCTAACCACAGAAAAAATGCTGAGGTGCGGCCAAAAGTACTGTGTTAAAAGTAAACAATAAAAGCAGATTTGAGTTTATTTCAGTATGAGGGACATGTTTTCCTCACCCAACACACCTTCCTAGGCAACTGCCACACACAAAAAAAGTGAGCCACTGGCAGGGCACAAGCACAAGGAAAGGCTGCAAAACCGCCAAAGATGCAGATCACACAACCTTCACCTGCCCAGTCAGGGCCTTAAGGCACATTAAAATAAAGCTGCCCCAGGGAACAGACTTGTGTGTCAGCACAAGACCAATGTGTCTCCTGTTCTTGATAGCTTGCCAGCCTCTCTGTTCTCATGGCCAGCCATAGGAGGTAGGTGCTGGAGGAGGAGACAGCTGCGAGCAAGGGTTGCCTGGCTGCTCCCGTCACCCAGCAAACAGAGACATTCACATCAACTCCATTTCCCCTAGCGTCATCATTACACACTCAAAGACTTCAGCCAGGTCCCCAAAACTAGGATTTTTGTTTAAAAATAAAATTAAAAATAAAAGTTATTGAAATGGAAGACTAGAGGATTATTTTTATTCCAGATGGTTTGTACATTTCAAGATTCTCTGTCCAAAACCATAGGCACCCCACTTCCTGAAGACCCCCTAGAGAAAGACCTTCAGAGACCAGACTACTGCATGCATGCAGTCCTTGAGTTCTTCCCACTAAAAGAACTAAAAGTTCTTTACACTATAAATGAAAACTGGCCCTACTTTAGGATGTGAGGGTGGGAAGGAGGACCAGTTCCAGCACATCACACTGATGAGAGGCTCAAGCTTTTGGAAGAGCACTGATCATCTGAAGATTAATCACAATCCTGCAAGAACTGGCAATGCCAGATTTTCTTCCTCTTTCCAGTAACCTCAAAATATGAGCAGAAATGGGCGGTACAGCTGGACAGTGTTCCAGCACAGGCAACACAAACACTGGAAAAACACCCCCACCCACCTCCCCACACAAACATATACATACATATACAGGTAGCTATTTACACACGCATGGACGCACCTATCCAGAACAAATTCTGAGGGAGAGGCAAGGTGATCTTATGCTGTGATGACAAACTTGGAGCACAGCAAGCTTTGGAGAGAAATGTTCAATGGGCCCATGCTACAGTGTGAAGCCCCAGCAGCAACAGTCAGAGCTGTGCTTGTCTTCATGTCTGTAAGTCAAACTAACAGCCCACAAAGTTCCCTCACAGCAATGAATTCTACCCAAAGTATTTAGGGGGAAGATATATAAAGGTAAACAGGCAAATTTCCTTCCACATGACCCCTCCACAAAGACATTTTGCACTCACCACTGCAGCACCAAAGCAGGGGCTTATCTGAATACAGATGGTTGCTAATGGGAAAGGAAACATACACAAACAAGAGTGTCCCCTAGATGCTCATTGTAAGGAGACAACAGCAAACCCAGTGACTGCTTAACAGGCAGATTACTGACTTAAATCCTTGTGAGCATTTCCAAACATGAACTGCAATGGTTTGCGGGTTATTACAGAAATACAAATGAGGAACTGGGATTAATGAACCAATAAAGCAGTCATTCAGACAAAAAATACGCAATTTGGACTTCTATTCAGATGTAAATAATTGCTCCAGCAGGCAACAAATCATACAAATCTTCCCATGTCACGGGCTTATTGACAAAATAAATGGGACCTGTTGCACCGAGGCTGCAACTTCCAACCACGGCAACACGCTGCTCTGCGATGGGACGCAGCAGCTCACGGCCAAGCACAGCAAACAGACGCATGAATTTCAGCAGCAAAATGCAAGGGGAGGGGTCTTGTTTGCATTTAATCTGTATTCTAACTTCCAGACATTGACAGGCAGCTGTTGATACATATCATTTAGAAGCAGAGTTTTCTTACAGCAGCTGCCAATGTATGCACTCTGCAACCAAATCTATAAAGGGGGGACCTCAGAATCACAGGCCACATCTTTCCTTCTATTTATATATTTGTAGGTAATTTTACAGAAGCACGTTTGGTTCTCCAACTCACCCTGCTCTTGTGCTGCACAAGGACTGTTATTTATTCATCCATTCTGCACTTACACAAAACCAGGCCTATCTGTGTTCTGTTGGAAAGCTTGAAAATCAAACCCAGGTCTTGCCACGTTGTTCCCAGCGATGATTTGTTAGACCGTTCTCCATGAATAACCTGCTCGCTCAAGTCAGCAGAAAGTTTCTCATTGACCTCAATAGGCATTTGGCAAGTCTCTAAATGTTTGCTATTCCCCTTTCATTTATTATTTATTGTTTAAAACAGACACAAGTAGTTTTTCAAATGGAAGAAGCATAAAAATGCAAATGCACCAAAATATTTATATTTTTTGCTCTTCTTTGCTTAAAAAGGAAGAAAAAAGGTATTGTTTTAGAGAACTCAGTATGCTCTAAAATTGAAATCCTGATGACAAGACTATGAGTGCCACAGCATTATGAAAAGGTTGCCATATGGCAGGTTCTTAACATGACTACTTCCAAAATCAAACAAACAGAATTATTGAATCAAAACAGAACAGAAGCACTACCTTTTGCATTTCTATGGGTTTTTTCTTCCAAGTGATCATCCCTTCTCCACAGAATCCAATTTTATATCTATGATCTTAATGCTTCACTCTGCAGAAAAGCTATATTCTGCTCCCCTTTTAAAAAATAGCCACAAAACCCCTGGCACTACACAAGATACATTAAAAACTGCCAGTACTACCTTTATGATTTACTCTGGCAATGTTTTTCAAGTTTAATAGAGAGACAGCACACTCCTCTGTGTGTGACTGCTAATGCACAGCCTGTTCTGGCCCCATTAATTTCCTCTGCTGAATTGCTGCACCCCGTGCTGCAATGCCCCATTGAAACCCAACACGAAGCAACACTTTGTTTTGCTGTCCTGCAGAGCTTCGGACCTGGAAATTTCATCTCCAAGCATGGAACAACCCCACCTTAAGGGCTGCTGTTCCCCCTAAGTGCCTTGTTTCAGCCAGGTATCCTTGGGATACACCAGAGTTTGATGCCTGGGAGGTGAAATCCCTCTTCCCTCCATCCTTCAGGCACGGTTCTGGGGACAAGACTGAGAGAAGAGCCAACATGAACTAAGATGTCACCACCACCACTCCTCCTGTGCCACTTACAGTAGTCCACAGCCCTCTCCCTAACCTATCTTAATTCACAAAATGAGAACAAAAATAACACAGGAAAAGGAAACAACATCCTGGGAGGACAGGAAGGCAGAGCAGCTCAGCAAAAAGCCCAGCACTTTCATGTAGAAGATGCAGCTGTCAATAACTTAATTGAAACAAAGTTCTACTACAAAAGGACTGAAAGAATGAACTAGCTTTCTTGCTTGGAAGAAAAGACTCAGTTACACCAGGCTCTTAGTTTTCCAGCTTTTGCAGCATGTTCACCAAAATACTTCATAAAGGCACCTGATTATTGGATCAGCCAATATGTACCTGTTGTTCAGGGTATTGTTTGCCCTTTTCATGAAGAAAAGAGCTCTAAATTTCACACCTCTAAATAACTTCAGACAAAAAGGCATAAAAACTTGAAATGATCTCTTTGCCCTGCCAGGCAGAGTAGCAAGGGAGAACCCTGGTCAAGAAGGAGTCCTTTGAGGAGAGCAGAGCCATGAAGCCTCTGCTGACCACCAGACCATCTCTTGGCCATGACCCCATGTGGTTGGTGGCAGAGGTCTCAGCAGCAGAGTGAGTGCTCGATGCATGTGCAGCGTGCCACCAGCCCTCTCCCACTCTGGGCTCCCTGAGGTTGGATGCTCAACAGCCGCATGACCTGGTGTTCAACAGTTCTTCTTTACATATTTTAAAAGGCCTCAAATCTTGAATGAGCCCCAGTTTCCCTCACTGGAGTCAGGAGAGGTGCACACTTCCACATCGACTTCCCCTGCACAGATGCCTTGCTAGTAATGCTGTCAAAATGAAACCAGAGCCTCCCTGAGGGAAACGCTGAAGTGAGCACCTGGACACGCAGCTTCTCCATTGAAGTTTGTTTCTTTCATATTCTTCTTCTGAAATCATCTGCACAGGGGTGGCAAAAATGAAATACTGTGTTGCAGCTGAATTGTTGTTTACTGAAGCAGCAATTAACCACATCATATGAACTTCCACACATATGATAAAAATAGAACTGGATGAGTTTGCCAGCTATCCAGTATTTAGTAGTACTTGGTTTGTTATAGAAAATACCCTTAATTTTTCTTAAGCTATGCTCAATTAATCCTGTTTGAATAAAGAACTCTCTGGCATTTAGCTGTAGGATCCTGGTCACTTCAAGCTGTGGCTCTGCATGTTTTTTTCCACAAGAACTGGTCTGCGCTTACAGATGTGTATCAGAAATACTTCTAAAGCGTCAAGTAACATGGGAACTTTTTCTCTCCCTCCAAAGAGCTTTGCCTCTGCATGCTTTCTTCCAGTTGAACTCTGATAGAATTCCGCAGGAATTTTGACTGACAAGTAAACCCCTCTCCCCCCCCCTTTTTTTTTTTATTTTGACACCAATTCCTAGAACTTAAAAGTAATTTGACGGAACAAAATGAAAACTATTAATAAAATCAGAAGACATATAGGTAAAAGAGAACTAAGGCATGCGCATGAATACATGTATTTTTATCCTTCACTTTGCAACAAGTTTTACTAGGGAGGGGAGAGGGCTCTGAGTTTCAATTTAACTGAAAGCTTGATCAATAGTTCTCTGTTACAACAAGCATGCCGTCTAATTTCCATCCTAAAATTAACAACCCCTGTCCTGAAAGCAAATCTTATTTTGTGCCTGTTCTCCTTATTGAAAGACTGCACAAGAACCTGTCTCTCTGATGGCTAAAAAATCCCTTCAGATTTCCAGTTTAAGTATACTTGAGGCTAATTTATACATGCTTGCTTCTATGACAACCTTGTCCTTGACTTTAAATGGCTATTTCTCCTTCCATCCTTTGTGTGCCACCAGACTAGCAAGCCAAGCTCTTCCAGGGTTTGTTTATACAGCCTTTCATAGGCAAATAGGCACATGCTCTCCCTGTGCAGCTAGCTGGCTGGGTGAGAGCCAGATGCAAACTGGATGTTGTATAGACATGGATAGGACGTTAAGGAGCCTGAGCTGCTGGGCTTTGATGAGGGCAGCAGCTTGGACTCACGCCTCTTGGTTTGCACTGAGCTCAGCTCTATCAGGCTCACAGCATGGGAGGAGTGTGTGTGCGTGCCTCCAAAATGCCCTGTGCACGGAGGCTCTGTCGCTCCCCTGAGAGCCTCTCCACTCGGCAGCCTTGCTGATCTGACTACATCTCTTCTGAGCAGGGCTTGTCACTGGGGTACCCAAGTACCTCAGCTGCACTGTCTGCTGATGTGTCAGGATGCATCCAGAATGACAAGAGGAACAGCCTTCATCATCCATGGGGATGACCCACAACCTCCAGGAAAGAACAGCTACAATCCTGTAGTACCAGGCTGGCTACACGGATGGCCTTGGAGCTCACCAGTGACCACAGCTTTCCAACAGAAACACCAACAGTCTGCACCGGGGCACGGTATTGTCACCAAAAGAGCTTTGCTTTGATGTTCCCCGCAAGAGCTGATCAACAAAGCACATGTGAGAAGCAGGAAGCCATCTATACTGTATAGGAAAGAAAAACTTTCAACTCTGGCAAACCTGATTTTAAATTAACCTGATTTTGTGTTTCAAAGTAAGTTCTACACCATTTGCTTCTTATTGTAATTAACAGAAGGCATTGACAATGGCATAATAAACAACCTTAGTGATGAGAAAGTCTCAATTTTGCATATGAATTGTGGATTATGGCAACTACTTCTGTGAAACGGTTACATCAGTGGCATGATTATTCTGGCAACCATTACAAAGGACACCATGATTTATGTTCAGACAGTGTGGAAACTGGATTTGAAGCTACATTAATAGTATCCTTTCAATCATTTGTGTATTTTCAGGTAGGTCCCTCAGCAGTGTCAAAGCTCATGATCTTAAAGAAAAAACAAAACCAATCACAAAACCCCAAGTTACCATTCAGACATCTGTAAGTCAGTATTCCCTGATCTATTATTGACTATCTTTAATAGCTGTTCAACAGCTACAGAGCTGCTTGGGCAACAGAGTCAAATAAGCATCTTTACAGGACCTTTTATATTACATCTGTGCTTCACATCTACCAACAAGAGGCCACTTAGTTTTGGCAAACAAAATTTACAAACACCTGCTGTCCTGGGATCACTCCAGCTTTCAAAATAAATACTACATACAATTCAAACACTGCAAAGGGCCTTAAAGCAACTGTCACTGACAGATAAAAAGAGGGAAAAACAGATTACTTATCAAATGTACTCACATGTGCTTTTATCTGTAAGCATTAGCTCCCACATATACATAATGTTAAAAAACCAATATGGAAATACAAATAAAACTAGATACGATGAAGAATAGTAATTCATCAAAACAGGACATCCCAGATTTTATGTTACAGCTGTAAAGATCTAACTTAACTAATTCTTTTTAAGGGTTTTTGCTGATCAAACCATCTCTGCAGCAGCCAGTTCTATCTTATCTTTTAGATACTAATATTATTTATGACATGCTGAGAGTTTGAAATAGGGGAATATCAGTTTAAACTCTTAATATCTAAGCAGAAATCCTTCGATGCTGACCTTATCTCAAAGGTACAGGGAATACAGCCTGCAAATCCCAAGTTTGGAACTGACCGAACTACACAGCAGGAATCAATGAAGATGTCAGCTTCCTTCAGGCGAGGAAGCTGTACCAAGGGGACTTCAGTGGCAAGGAACGCTTTCTGCCTACCTTCACCCTACCACAACAGGTGCTCTCCCGCATCCCCTCCCAGAAAGATGGGCCCTCTGAGCTGACCTCCCTCAACAGTGATGAATCGCTCCATTCATCAGTTCACACAGTGTTCAGAAGTCAATGCATGCTTTGAAAAATGTCACTGCCCCTCTGCCGACACACCGCGTTTCCAAGGACTCCCCTGCGTCCTCTGGGAAGCGCCTGAGCACAAGACATGCACTGTAATGTAAATTCACATGAGCTATGAAGTAAAAACTTTAGAGAAACCTAAACACTAACCTCCGTTGCATTCAGACTGGTAAAGCTACGAGGCCATGGGAGTTACGTTAGCTCCCGGGGATTTGGGGAAGCGTTTTTCCCTTGTTACCTTGGTAACGGCTACCTTGGCACCCCTGTTGATAAGCTGCACCACATTCTCCACTTGGCCTTTGTAGGCGGCTACGAGCAGGCGTTCTGAAAGCACGGCGACCACATCCTGCTGGCTCATGAATTAGGAGAGAAAGGTTTTCAGCTTCCTCCGGTCCAAAAACAAAGGCTTGGCATCGGTTCAAGCGGCGTGCATGCAGGTGAGGAAGGACCCCAGCTCCCTGGGCGGTGACGTTACTGCTATGCCATCCTCTGGACCTGTGGATCAGAAAACAACACGGCCGTCAGCAAGGCTTGGGAGACGGAAGCGCCGCAGCGGCTCCTCCCCGAGCGTTCGTCTCCCCTGCGCTTGGGAGGGGGCCACAAAAAGCCCTCAGAGCCTCCCAAAGACAGTGTGCTCCTGCTGCAAGGCAGAGGGATGTCCGCAGCAGCACATTTTCAAAGTGCCCTCACTCCCCTGGTTTGGGACAAAAATTCTTAAACTTTCTGGAAGCTTAGCTCTCTTTTGGCCTAACCTGTATTTGTGTGGCCCCTTTTTCTTCTCTCCTTGCCCCCAGGTTTCTCAGACTTTAATTAGCCCAGGACGGGTTAACTACCGACACTGCTAAGAGTAGCTCAGACGATGTTGGCAAAGGGGACAAGAACAGGTTACACTTACTGGCTGCTGATACAAATACACAAATCTCTGCCCTGGGAGGCCTGAGTACAGCCAGCAATTAAAGGAAGCTGGCTGTTCCCTCACAAGTACAAAATGCTTCACAGCCTCCCCTGAACCATTCCAAGGACACCTTGGGCGGGTGTTCACAACCAGCAGCTGGGAAACACTCATCTTTGTTGTCAGTGTGAAATGATGTTCCCTCCGTGGTGGTGACATCATGGCCCACTGACCCCAGAAACAATTCAGATTTAGCACTTGTCATGCAAACTTGTGAGCATGTTCTTCCTGGGCTCCACTGACCTGTCCAAATGAGCCATTGGAGCTGAAAAGCAATTTCTGACATAATTCCAGAAAATGTATCTGTAGATCACTTTGAGCTGTAGGACCCAGAACTCGCCTGGTGTGGGATGATTTCAGCTTTACCTGTGCTTTTCACACTTTGATATTTAATTTTTTTCAGTACAGGAAAAACACCAGATAGCTACTGTGTCTACAGATGATTTATCTTTCTCGCTCTTGAAATATCACTGCACTGCTTCATATCCCCTACCAGTACTGTAGGCTTTGCATAGCCTAAGGGTAATTGGTACAGGGACTAGATGATCTTGGAGACTGATAATGAAATAAAATGTCTTTCATTCTTATGTTATCCCTTTTAATCCACCTCAGAACAGCAATAACTAAAAGCTATTACTACTTAATGGCTTTGCTGCCCCCTTAAATTGATGTGTTTGTCTCAGTTGAGCTGCTAGTACAAAACACTCCCCATCATAATCCAACCACTCAAAGCACTGGCATTTTTGCTAACAGCTTCAGCAGGGAGACCACCACCAGAACAGCAGGAAGATAGAATTTCCATCCTCGTACCAGGAAGACGCTCCCAGCAACACAGAGAAAATGCATGGATAGTTACGGCACATGAACTCCTCATCTTCTAAATACTGGGGGTGAGACCTTCTAATGAATATCACTCCAATGTTACCTGATTGTATCCAGCTTCACAACAAAAAAGTGCTGTAGCCCTGTGTAACTGACTGGTAAGGTACTGTGATCCTCTGTGTCACCAAAGTGATATCCAAATCCCTGGACCCTTCAGGATCACTAAACATTTTTGATCACTTATATTAAAACCATTTTGGTTAATTTGTAGCAGTAGATGATACTGGCAAAATTTAATTATCGCCCCTAGAGTCATTGATATTAATGAATTTTAAAATGCTTTGTGAGCATTAATACTTGTAACACCCTTTGAGGTGAATAGTATGCTCTGGAACATTACACATATTTTAGAAAAAGGCCCTTGAAAGCACAGGAAAGTTACCGGTCTCTCCAAGCTTAATAGAAAAGTTATGTCAAAGCCAGGAAGTTACTCCAGATAATTGACTGTTGATTTCTAAGTATAAGCATTAGGTAACACTGTTTCCAGGTAAAAGACTCAGGTTAGCTTTTCCTCACCTTCCTCTTGCTTTCTAAGTGAAAACATTTTTGGAGCAACATGGAAATAGCTGCACATTTATTCAGAGAAACAAGACAAAAATCTTCTGTGCCTCAAAGGCAATGCAACAAGGGACAAGAGAGAAGCAGTGCTGTACCCTGTGCTGCTGGATGGTCTCACCCACACCCTCAATGTGACAAACACAGTTTGGACACGCTGGTAATACAAAAGAGATGGAAGACAGAAGAAAAAGCCCTTGTGTCCTTCAACAGCACTGTACACATCATACCGTGCTTTTCAGGCACTGTGATGTGCACAATATAGTACAAATTATGTTAAAAACCAAGAAGTACAGGTGGTCAACACTTAAGTGATTCAAGCTGTGAAAAGCAACACAAGTTTCACCCTCACCTCCCTCAGCATTTGCTTTCCAGCAACTCACACTACCAAAGCAAGCTGAACCCCCCTCGAGCACAGTCCCCCTGCTCCCAACACATCCTGACCCTCCCATCACATCCCAAAGCAGCACCTCCATGGCCCAGAAGCACTTCCCACTCCTTCCCTCTGCGACCAGCACGCAGTGCAGGGCAAACCTTACAGCAGGGACCTTTCTCTGTGAGCTTTTCAGGCAGCATGTTCGTTTGTTTCTGTGCCAGCCCTTGCCTGTGCAGTGGTGCTATCCAGATGAACCATACCATCACTTGTTTTTTCCCATCCTTACACCTGAGCTGGCTGCCCATAGTTTGGAGTCATGAACAATACACTGGCAACCCTGTGTATTTGTGTTTGTGGTCAGACCCTGCTTGGTTTTCTTACCCTTTAAATACAAAAGAAAGCAGTTAACATCACTGACACCAAGATGTTTTCATATTCCCTGCAAAAAGCTCAATGCAAACATTCTCCTGACACCGAAGAAATTCACAGAATCTGTGAATGCTCATTACATCTTAGCTGCACCACTAGTAACATACACCAATACTTCAAAGGACTCACGACAGTGCAAAGTTTAGTGCTGCCAGGGAAAAGTCAGGTGAAAGGGTATGTACCGACACAAGGTACATGCTGGAAATCATACTCCCTAGTCTGATTTTTCTCCCTCTCACAGCCTTCCCATTACTGCAGAACATTCTGCCCCGAGATCATGAGCCTCCTCAGCCTGCCGTGCCCTGCCACGCTGGAGTGATGGTCTCTGATAACACTGCTGCTATCAGTAGGTTTTCCTTCTTGCCTTTTCCACTGCACGGACCACGTGTAAAAGCACAGCAAGAAGTTGATTCAGCTATTGGTCTTATACAGATGTCTCCCACGTTGTCCAAGTCCCCAGCAGTCATGGGTCCCTGTTCCCAGAGGGCAGTCACGTCACAAGCCTGGCTCCTGCTCTGGGCTGTTTTGCAGACAGGCGCTGGCACAATAGGTCACATTCCCCAGCGCTGGCTGCTTTACATCTCCTCAGCTGGGATTATTTACAACTCAGAAAAGCGTGTCAGATTAGCCTAGGAAGCCCAGACAACCGAAAGACCAACTTTCCTTTTCTCCTGAGCTGGCAGGAAAAGGCAGTGGGCGACCAGTGGGAGGGGGAACAACCTTCTCATCCCCCTCCCAACAGACCCTTCCCCAGTTCAGCAGCTTGATGGGCAGTGGCATCACTCCCCGACAGCTTTAACTCTGTACCTGCCTCAGACACGCAGAGAATCTTTCCCTGAACACACCTGCACCCGCAGCAGGAGAAGGAAGGTACTAGATGCTCAAAGACTACAATTAAAAGCTCGACTGCCCCTTTCACACCCAGATGGTGCAAAATTAACCCGGTAACATAATTACAGGCGCTGCAGCACATCCCCACTGCGAGCACCTGCTGCCCAGAATTCAATCCCTCATTATCACTCCCCAAATCCGGGAGCTCGGGGGAAGCACAGAGCACGGGAATATTCAGATCTTCTGCCTTCAAAACAAAAAAAAGGGGGCGTGCTTTAAAGTATTTTTAAATAAGAAACAGTCGTCTCTGTGTTTCATTGTTTAAGATTAGACTACTTACCTGAGGCAGGCTGGGAAAGCAACACCTACTTCCCAAGC